GAGGAAAATACAGATCGTGAAGAAGACAGAATATCAGAGAGAGCCCTGGTTCGAGAATCTAAACAAAGAATTCAATCCAAATTCAAATACAAAGCATATTCCTTGCGGTTGCTATTTTTCTTGTGTTGGAAGACTTAAGTCCATATTCTGGGGTATAGTTTAAAAGAGCTATTGGGTGAGTTGTTGAGTTTCCATACTTGAGAAGGACACTTATGTTCCTAAATTGATTTCTTCTTATGCAAAGAAGCCAAGTAATAATGACCAGACAAGGTATTGTTAAGTGCTTAGAGAAATAAGCTACATGCTTCTCACTTAGCTTTAGGGACTCACAAGCTCATAACCTAAAAATCTGAATTTTACACCCATGGCCTCTAGACAATATGAGAAAATTCCAAAATCAGAAGCAAGTGCTAGAAGCTGAGAAAAAGTAGCAAGCAGCTCCCATGGCTGCTTCTTAGCAGAATAAATATGCAAAGGGGCCTGTTACTTCCGGAACAGGTACAACAAAACACGCATGTCCTTCAAGCACCCAGGGTTTACCTTTGTGTTATACTTTCTCTGCAGTGTGTAGTATCAACAAGACTTTGCCTTCTACCTAAAAAAAAAAAAAAAATTGACTGCTCAGCTTAAACATAAATAAATGTGGGCTGGGGAACAGACAGATCTTTCATTTTTCAAAACATTCTTATGCTTTTGTATAATAAAACTTAATTACATTTATAATGGTAAAACTGGGGGACAATCTAAAAATCCATAGTTAGAAAATAATTAAGGACAATATCTCAAAGGATTATTATTTAGATATTTAACTTTGTATTTATAGAGATTGTGAAATACTGTGGAGAATATTAAAATAGTGGAAAAGAGCAGAAATAAAGTTATATGTGAGCATGTTTACAACCTGAGAAAATAAACTATTGACAGTAAAAAATATTAGAAATAAGGGGCCAGATGGCATACTGGTCATATTGCTAAATGCTCGCATGGCCTACTATGGTTCAGTTCCCAGACCCAGTGGATTGAATGTCATGCCAGGTGTGTGTGTGTGTGTGCGTGCCCAAGATCCCTGGAGGAGAATGGAGGAGAAGGGATTGCAGTGTGGCCATTCCCCCAGGAGGTGATTTCTCACTTTCCTTCTCACTGTCTCTTTCTCTCTCCAGCAAGTGCATGTGCCCTAAGGAAAAAAAAACTTAGAAATAATAGTAGAATTGCAGTAAAGCTATAAAAATACCAAAGAAAATAGAAATATCTATTATACAGTTTAATTTCAAGTCTTAGTCAAAGAAAAGGGAATCCTGTCGTCACCAGCAAAGGAGAGAAAGTGGGGGGGCATGGTGATTAAGGCAGCTGAAATCCCACATGGCTGACCATGGTTCGAGTCCTGGACCTGGCAGCTTGCTTTCTCACTTTCCTTCTCTCTCTTTGTCTCTCTCTGGTCAAATTCAAAATAAAATAAAGTAAAATAAAATAAAAGAATAAAATTTTAAAAGAAAAAAAAAGGAGAGAAAGTGGGACTCATCGCTGTGGGCTAACGGAAAAATGTGCTGTCCGATGGCAGGTGAGAGGACAGGAATTTACAGGACAGGAATTTTTCAAGTAACCAAATATTAATCCACCCTCTACCCCCCAAAATAAAAAAGTGTTCAATAATTATTTTTCTTGTCTTTTCAAAGCAAGGCATAGAGAAGGAACTTGGTAATATAACAGTTGACAGGGGACTAAAGTTGATTTTTCCCTTTTCTTACTATACTTTCCAAGTTTTCTTTTCTTAAACCCTACTTTTACATTTGAAAATTCAGAAAATTCAAAACTAATTCTATTATTAGACATTAGAAATAAATCATTAAATTTATTGAAAGTCAAAATATTGACAAAATAGAAATCTCTCTATCACTTCTAGTCTCTGATAATTAGAAAAGTACACAAGAAAGACAAAATGGTGAAGTAATAGAAAAGTCTTTTGGGAAAAGCACACAGAGATTCTTAATCTAGTAATAGAATGAATTAATTATTAGATCAAAGGAACGTTGACTTCAAGTGGCAAGTGTAGCAAAAAATATAAGCTTGAGTAGGAGACTAGAGAAACTTTCAGTATTCAAAAAAGCATTCTTTAGAACAATCTGCTGAGGCCAACCAGCATGAGAAGATTTTTAGTTCTACTTGTGGGGCAAGATCTCTGTGTAATCTTTTGTTTAAAATGTTTTCAAAACTCTCCATAGGATGACCAGAGACAACAGGCCACACAAAAGAGCACCCTGGAGTCAATGAGGTTTCACAAGTGACAAATTCCTCTGAAAAAACTACAGGCTCCTTCTATCATTATTCTAAACAGAGAAAGGTAATAGACCCATTTTGATGTTTTGTTCTCATTCACATCAACAATATTTTTGAATGACAAAGATAATTTCCAAAGATATTTGTGTGGATCAAGTGACAGATGAATTGGACAAGTTATCTGTGCCTCTAAATGACTCTATTGTTACATCTAGCAATAAAATGTTCCTGAAACAATCACAAATAGAAAAGCTGCCTCTTTTCCCTTACTAGTTAACGTGAGAAGAAAACACCTGCCTGTTTCAGTTCAACAAAAATGGTTTTAATATAGGGTCACGAAAAACTCAAGGCTTTTATGGCCCTCTATAAAACAGCTCTTTGTCTTTTCCCACTAATTCCCTAGTGTCACATTTAACAAAACAAGGAAACTAAAGATAATAGAGGTGTTTGCAGATTAGCGTTCCAAGCCATAAATAACATAGGGATTTGCTCACCTACAAATATTAAGCAGCTTATCAATGTTTAAGCCCCTTCCTCTTTGTAATGGTTGCTAACATTTTAACCCAGACACATTGAGAATTTTTCTTCCCTGTCTTCTCACATTGACAGAGTACACATTAATAAGGTTCTATTATCAGATTTTGTGGTATATAAAGTGAGACATCACCCGAACACCTGCCTGCTACTGGAGAGCCCCTGTTTTAAAGGATGCATCTGCTCTATGGTCTCCTTGTTCTGCTCTCTCTCAGTGATGGTTTCAGTCCTAACTGTCCCGGGAGATGTAGCTGTGATTCTATGCAGGCAGTACAATGCTACAGATTACTAGAAGTGCCGTCTGGTATTCCTTCCACCACCAAGAGGCTCTACATTAGCCACAGCAGAATTCCACACCTCCAGGTAACTATGTCATTCTGCTCTCAAGTTACTACATTTCATTGTGTGAGGCACGATGAGGGGTAAGTGTGGGATTGCTAAATTTATTTTAAGTAGCCTTAACGTTAAAACACTAGTTATCGAATCAAGGTAGTTGCTTACTCTGTGCTTTTGAGATGGATAGATGCCTTTGGTTATTCATGTTTAGGGAAGTAGCAAAAAAAAAAATCAGAATCTATAGCTAAGGATATTTTATTTCAATTTTTATCCAAAAATTTTTTAAATATGTTGTCTCAAAGTACCAGTGGCATTTCCTTTTAAAAAAAATAGTATATTGCCACTTTATGTCCCCAGATTAAGAGTAAATTCTTTCAGTGGAAAAAGTAGTTTTGCTAATGCCATAGGTGGCAAATGATACTTAAAGCATTGCAAGATATCAGGATGAACCAGCAAATCAGAATAACTCATACAAATTCTATTACTATATACCAACCAGGTAGCAGTATCTGAGTGGAAACTAATAGAGGACATACATGGGTTTTGTTTGTTTGCCTGCTTTGACAAGTTACCCACAGTTCTCATTTTGTGAACATTTAACTATGACTTATTTTTATCCTCATTTGTCTATTTAGAGGGCATTTGGAGGGTGTTATACATTTGTCTGATTTTTATAACATGAAAGAGCTTTTTTTTAATCTTTGGTATTTTGAAAGGTATCAAGGCACTAGCATTCTCATTCTAGTTCTCTCATTAACTAGAGATGTGATGATCTTTGGCAAACTTAGAAAATCTCTGGGCCTCACTTTTACCTTTATAAAGTGAAGAGGCTAGATTAAACAGACGATCCTAGGCCCCTACTAGATGAAAAGTTCAATGGCCTTCTGATTTCCCTTCTACTATTTTCACTGATTCTCTCTCGTCAATTCAAATCCTGAGATAAAGAAATGCCTCCTCATGAGCCAGGTGCAGACAGGCAATACGTGACTATATCTTCCCTTCAAATAGAGACATCATCTCCTCTCATTTGGTTGAGATTTTCAAATAAGTATCACATAAGCACACAGAGTTTAAAATATGTGGTGTGGCATTTAAATGCAGTGTCAATAAGCACAACGGTCTAGTGTCCATCTGTTTACTTTCCTCTCCCAACCCAGTAGTGCCTAATGTCTGATAGCAAGCCTGACCCTGCCGGGTCTAAGCAGTCAAGCAAGACACCTGGTTAAAGGATAAGCTTAAACATTTGCTCTGAGAGCTCAAGATACCGAATAAACTGGGGTTTCAGCTAATCCTGGTTCTGATCCTACGTAGATATTTTTTAGCCAATTAAGATGAAATTATACTTCTCATCAAATTCAGGTATTAAATGAGTCAATTTATCATTGACTTGGGTTCACTGAACAGTATTATTTCCACTTCCCTGACTTTAATCTAGGTAACTGTCTCTTGGAAGGTCAGTTCACAACAGAAGGGTTAAAGACAGGATGGCTTAGTCTTGGGACTAAAATGCACTGTGTGCATGTCCAATGTGTTTCAGGCTAACTGGGCCAAGGATTCAAACTGCAATCGCCGTGTGAGAGCTGGCTTCTCCTGAGCACAGCATTATCATTAACCATGGAGTATGCCATGCCTATTTTTAAGCCAAGTTGTCTGTTTATTATTGAGTTGTAAGCATTCTTTTGCTCTACGTACAAGTCTTTCATCAGATACATTATCTGTGAAGTTTTCCACTCTGTGGGAGTTTATTAATTTCTCAATGTTGTACTTTATGCACATAAGTTTTTAATTTTCATTGAGTCCAATTCAGTTTTGATTGGGTCCTTTTTTTGTGTGCATCACTTGTGCTTTTGGTGTCATATCTAAGGTGGCTTTTGCCTAACCCAAGGTCATGAAAATTTATGCCTATTGTTTCTTCTAAAGGTTTTATTGTTTTAGCTTTTACATTTAGGTCTATGATCCATTTTGAGTTAATTTAGTGTTTAGTATGAGAAAGAGGTCCACTTCACTCTTTTGTACCCTCCATCCTTTTCTGTTGTTGTTCACTAACTCACACTTTACTCTCAACCCATGATGAACTGCTTAACTGTGTTGAGTGAAAGATACAACTGATGGCCTATGGTACTAAATGCACACTGTGCAAGGTGACCCAAGTTACTTCTACTTTGAGGAGTGCAGTTCAGTTCAGTTCTTAGTGTGCACATAGACAAAACATAATTAAAGTCATCTCACTATCGTCATTCGAACTGTTTCTAACCAAAACGATACAGTCTCTTTAAAGCCAGAGGACAAATGGGAATGTATGTAGTTATGGTAGCAGTCAATAAAAATGAGTGTACTTCATATGTTTTCTGAAAGAGAAGAGATTATATTGCAAATGCCTCCTGGGTAAGAAATAAACATGGTTTATCTCCGAGTGGAGGGATTATGGATTATTTTATGTTATTTTCATATTCTCTAGAATTTTAAAATTGTTTATACAAAAAAAAAAAGTTTTGGTGATCAGGGAAAAGAAAAAAAAAGATTCTAACTTTGTTTTAGAAAGTCCATGTTGGCTTAGTTCACACAAGTCTGAAGACATCCCTTTGGAGGGTATGTGGGTGTGTCCGTTTCATTGGATAATGAGCCCCAGAAGGGTATGTGGCTCTCTACTTCTTGAAGCAGGACTAGCCCAGGACTGAAACTGATACAAAACCTTTCATGAGGAAACTGTCAGAAGCTATCCTGCGCTCTATTTAACTTGTCTTGTTTTTGACACATTGAAAAGCTACCAGTAGCCCCAAGTTTAGATCTATGACAACTGTTACTAATTGGGTGAAAGATTTCCAGATTATTTCCATTTGTGAATATGATAAGATGGTGCAACAAATACCCTAGGGTATGAATCATTATGCAGTTTGGAAGTATTTCTTTGCCTAGAAGTGAATTTGCTATGTAATAGAATATGCAGTGAAAATTGGCCAATATTATATCTCTACCAATATTGTATGAAAGTACGTGGAATATTTTTGATATCTTACATTGATATTAGCAACCACTCAGTTCCTTCTTAGGAACTGAGTTTCAATCCTTTTCTTTCTTTTTTTTTTTTTTTTTTTTTTTAGGTTTTTGCCATAGGACACAGGTACTTGCCAGAGAGACAGAGATAGAGAGAGGGAATATGAGAAATCACTCCCTATGTATGACAGATGGCCATGTCACAATCCCTTCTCTATTCTCCTCCTGGATTTTGGCATGTACACACATGTGCCTGGCATGATTTTCAAGCTGCCATATCCAGGGCTTGAACCATGGTCACCGACATGAGAGTGTAGTGTCAATTACTACGCAACTTGTTGGTCCCAGTTTTAATCTTTTTCTGAGATAATTTTAAATAGAACCTTAAGGGAAATCTGAAGTATTACTAGTGTTGTAATGATCATGAATATGATATTTTTCCTAACAATTTTCATTTATTGCTTTTCTTTCCTTTCCCTGTCCTTACCTTTTTGTAGCTATCTAACTTCACCCAACTGGTGGCTCTAGAAGATTTTATTCTGTTGGCCAGTGGAACAGAATCAGTAGAAAATGATACCTTCAAAACTCTAAGTACTCTGAAGACCTTAGAATTTTGGAAGAATAAATTGAGACGAGTCCCGAGCGCTCTCCCAGCCAATCTTGAAGTGCTAAAACTAAATGACAACTCAATATATGTCCTACATAGATCAGACTTTGAAGGATTGAAGAAGTTAAAAATCCTTGAACTTAAAAACAACCTGATCTCTTCTCTCTCCCCTAACATGTTCTCCTCCCTTGTCAGTTTGCAAAGTTTGATGTTGGATGGTAACAATATGGAAACCATAGCCGGGCCCCTGACACTTCCCCACCTGAAACATATGAGCATGGAGAATAACAAACTACATCTTATACCAGGTAGCTTCTTTACATCTCTACATTCTTTGCAATTTCTCAGTTTCAGTGGTAACTTTCTGACTAAAATTCCTGTTAATCTACCCAAATCTTTGCTATCTTTAAAGATGGAGAGAAACCAGCTCAAAGTGGTAAGGTTTCAAGATATGAAATATTTGGAGAATCTTTCCCATCTTTATCTGTCAGAGAACTTTCTTTCTTCCATTGAAGGGGCACAACTCCTTGCCAATTTAACTACTCTTGAACTGTCCCAAAACCAGCTTCGAATGTTCCCCCTCAAACTACCAGCAAGGCTACAAAAGCTTGATTGCAGCAATAATATGATTCAGAAAGTTACAGCACAAGACTTCCAGGACCTCCAGGACTTGAAACATTTATTTCTGGACAACAATGTTGTCAGCTTGTTTGAAGCTGGAGCTCTTCAGAGATGTTCTCAGCTCTCCAACTTGGCCCTGGAGCAGAACCTGCTGTTGTCTATACCTTTAAAGTAAGTGAATGTTACCATTTATTGTAGCTACAATGAACACTTTCCAAAGATTGGGACAATTCAGCATATTAAACAACAGGAAATTTAGTTAGAGCAAACATAAATGATCTGGTCAAGGCTACATAAGAATTTAGGGACTGAAGTTATAAACAGAGACTTGGAATGTCCAGTCCTCAAACAGAATCCTACACTAATGATTACTCTTTCTGATGGGACAAAACTAACAGGTGGTATCTATACTAACAGCATATAAAGACACTGTAAAAACTGTCTTAGTTTCTAAGCATGTGGCCTACATAACCAATGGGCAAACTAGCAGAGCAAGGACACCAGAAAAATATGGAGAAAATATAGTAATATATTCATGTGTTAAAAAAGATTAAAATAGTAGTTATGAAGAAAAATAAAAACTTTAATATTGTATTTATTTTGAATTATTTATTGGAGGCTTTATATTCTTCTCAGTGATATGATCTTGAAAGGATATAAATTATTATATGTGTCTACCAGTGGGCTCTTCTTAGTACTTTACTGGAGAAAAAAAGTCATCTTGTCCTGTCTATGAACATTATCAAGTTTCTCCTAATTAATATACCAGCTTTTGACCTCAGTAGAATCCTATGACACTCTGTTTTTCTAATTTCATTGCAATTTTTGTAATCTATGAAAAAGGAGGAAAATAATCTTTTATAAGCACGGGTGTTCTTTTTTTTCTAGTTGGAAAGTCTTTTTTAAAAATTATTATACAGGATGGTAATCTGAAAGACATCAAAAAATGATTTTTCTGCATGTGTGCAGGTTCCTAAAAATCTAACAGGCTAAAGGACTGAAGGAAGGGGAACGCAGTGTGACCAGACTCTGAAGAGGGTGCTCATCTCTCTCTCACACATACACACCTGCACATGGACATATAAAAGAAAGGTCATGATTACGGGGTTTAGGAGTGTAGCAGGTGGGATGACTGGTTGTAATTTTAAGTAGGGTAAGCATGGTAACCCTTATGAAAAGGAAACTTTGACCAAAGACTTAAAGGAGAAGGGATTTAGCTATGAAGTATTTTGGGGGTAAAGATAGAACTGCCAGATACAAAAACCCTAAGACAAGAACGTTACCCAGCAAAGAGTGTTTCAAGACTCTAATACTTGCTATTTGAATAACTTCACAGTGTTTTACACCTTATTTATTTTCTATTATTAAGTGCCCCTACTCCAAGGAAAAAAATGTATAAAATAAAAACTCATACATAGGTTACAAAGTGATTCTGTCACACCAAGATATGACAGTAGGCTGTGATGCCCATAGACAAAATTTGAACTCAGTGGACTTTCTATACTGGTGATCTTTAGGAAGTACTGTAAAATAATCCTACTAAGTTTAATGAGTGAAAAGTAGCTTAATTATTTACTCCTACTAGAATATTTGTGCTTTAATAAGTGACTACAAAAAGCAAAATACTTTTATCCAATGGAGGTGTAATGGAATTGCAAGCATGAGCTGGCCATGGTTCTCCACTCTGGCTTCTCATTAGAATTATCTGAAGAAAAAAAAAATACTCATGCCCAGGCCTCCCTTCAAATCAATTAAGTCAGATGCCCCAGAGCTGGGGTCTGGGCATCAGTATCTTAAAAAATCCCAGAGGCTGGGGCTAGTAGGTGGTATTGTAGTTAAGGGGGCTAGACTCCCACATGACCTACTGTGGTTCGAGTCCTGGACTGGGCGGCTTTCTCTCTCTCTCTCGTCCTGTCCCTCTCTGGTCAAATGAAAAAAATAAATAAGTAAATGGCCCAGGGGCCAGCAGGTGGTGTAGTGGTTAAGGCGCTGGACACCCACATGGTCAACTGTGGTTTGAGTTCACGATGCAGAGACTTGAAATTCATGCCAGTCATGTGCACCCCAAATCCCAGGAGGAGAATGTAGGAGAAGGGATATGGTGTGGCCATCTGGGATGATTTCTTGCTTTCTTTCTCTCTGTTTCTCCAGCAAGGGCACACATCCTATAGCAAAAAACTCTCTGAAAAAAAAAGTACCCCAGACATTGTACAGCCGGGCAAGCAAGCACACTGAGTACTGGGCAAAGACAATGGCACAGTAATGTGGGGGTGGAGTGGGCTTTGCCTGTGAGGCTTAACTTGAGCAATACAACCTGTCTGCTCAGGGTAGAACTTGGCCAGCTCTGACAGCAAAGTTCTTGCAATGTTTAAATACCTCCATCACTTCTCCTATTCTACAGCTTTTCTTTTATTGGAAAGTGAGAATGATCCAGAACAGTCTCTGTGGCTTTTCTGCCATAAAGAATTAAAATGAAATAATATCTGTTTCTTATATTTTAATTTTAAAATGTTTATTTGTGAGCTTTAAACAGAAAACTTTTTCTTTTCAGCCTCATGCTTCTTTTAAAAAATCTTTATTTATTTATTTAAGAGAAATTTTGACTGTAGGGCACATGTGCTCATTGGTCAGACAGAGACAGAGACACAGAAATGAGAAATCTCACCTCAGGGGGGATGGCCAAACTGCAATCCCTTCTTTTCCATTCTCCTCCCAGGATTTTGGTCATGCGTGCACACACGCCCAACATGAGTTTGAAGCCACCAGGTCAGGGACTCTAACTGCCATCGGCCACGTGGGTGTCCAGCACCATAATCATTATGCCAACAGCTGGTCCTGCTGCATGCTTCTTATTCATACACAAAAAATACACTATAAAATTCTGTTTTCTATAAATAAACTGTAAACACAAGCAATCTGCTCCTACCACAAATGGTATTTCCTCCAATCCCTTCTTTTGCCTGCCATCCTCCATTCTACATTTTATCAAGACAATAATAATATATGGTTTTAGGTATGTATCAGATATTCATATACCTACTATAATTGCTTGAATATGTTAATTGACACAGAAAACACTTATATTTAGAAAGCCAGAGAGATAGGTCTTATTCTTTGTTGCCTCACACTTCACCAGTCCGTAGCTTAGTGAGTAATTGTAATTAACATCATCTCTTTGGATAATTCAAATTTCAAAAAGCTTTCCACCACCTAATGCAGTCAGTTAGTATTTTATCTTACACACAAGTGCCCTCTACTGACCTAATGGGCTATGCCCCTTTTTACTATAAGTAGTGATAACTACGCAAAGAAACATATGACAGCATTTCTAGAAACGTCGTCTTCAAGTTGTGAGTGACCCAAAAGATGGCCCATCTGCTTTGAAGAAATCAGGGTGATAGAACACATCATGTTTATTTGCACAAAGGAAGATTTACTATCAGTCGATGAGTAGGAAGACAGTAGGTATTGTATCCAAAGCAGTGTCTGCCTGAGGTGTGGAACCTTAGGGTTTTTATTTAGGAAAAGTGTATAGGGTTAGGGGGTCAAATGTGGAAAGGTAGGCTCAAGTAGGCATAAACACAGTGACTGGTCATACTTCTCCATGCTTACACATTATGCAAATGGGGCTGTAGCTTCTCCTGGGGCAGAAATTTTAGTACTGTAACTAGCAAAAATTCAACAAAGTTCAGGGAGGGCCCGTTCTCCCTTTGTCCCTGCTAGTTTTAATTGGTTGTGACTGGTATGAGTTCATGGCTCTTTTTGGTGGGGTCATGTTCCCTATAAAACAACCTTGGACAGCTTACATCAGATGGGACTTGCTCTGCAGAACCAACTCAGACAGCTTGTGTGGAAACCCCTCTGCTTACAAAATTAAGGCTACTTTTAAAAAATATACTTATTTATTTTATTTTATTTATTATTATTTTTTTTAATTTGATGAGAGAACGGGGGTGGGGGGCAGTGAGAGAGTAAGCTGCCAGGTCCAAGACTTGACTTGAACTGTGGTCAGCTACATGGGAGTCTAGCACCTCAACCACCATACCACCTGCCGGCCCAGGGTTACTTTTTTTTTAGATATTAGACATATAAGAATCAAGTGATCAAAGCAATAAATGACTGTTGAAAAGGTCACAAGAAGAAAAAAAAAAGTCACAAAAGGGGCAAGCAGGTGCATAGTGGCTAAGGCACTGGACTCCCACATAGTCAATTATGGTTCAAGTCCCAGACTCAGGGATTTGAAGCTGATGCCAGGCATGTGTGCTTGCATGCCCCAAATCCCCAGAGGGGAATGGAGGAGAAGGATTGCTACATGGCCATCCCCCTGAGGTGGTAGGGGGTGGATTCTCACTTACTCTCTCTCTGTCTCTGTGTCTCTGGCAAGCACATGCACCCTAGAGCAAAAATCTCTCTCAAGAAAAACAAAATTCACAAAACTTAATCATAATTAATGACTTCTCTTATAATGTCATTTTTTGTTATATCTTCATAGAAATAAGAAAGAAAGAAAAAGAAAAAGGTGAGCCTAAGAACAGGTCCATGTTTTGCATATGCAGCACAGAACTGAGTAACTATTTGTTTAAAAGAAAACTTGGCTTGCTGATTTTCATTGTCTAACATTTGTTATATGGCTTCTATATACTGAGTGATCACTTTGGTTTATAGGGTGGAAAATTAGAAGCTATGAAAGGTAAACTATTTTATTTAAAGTTACACACTGATAAGTAGGCCCAGGTTAGAATGCAAGTCTTAGTAAGTCAGGACATTTTAATTCTTCAGTTTACTCTAAACACCTTTCCCCATTTAGGCTCCATTGTCCTCTGCATGGGAGAACAACCTTACTTACCTCCACATAGTCTATTAATAGTATCTCTCCTTGAGGAAAAAAGCCCAAACTATACACCAGAGATTTTCTGTGTACCTTTTTCAATTCATCTTGCATTAACTGATGTGTGCACAAAATGATTTATCCTTAGAGATTAACTTCAAATTTAATTTAACTATAAAACTTCAAAAATGTGTCATTTTCCTTGGTTATCTACTTTGTTAGATATATTTTATTCCATTGAAGGAGTTACTTTAAATAATTAAGACTTTAAAATACTCAAAAAGTACAAATAATTACATAGTATCAGTACTGTATAGTTTAAAATATGATTTAGTTTTTTTTTTTTTCTTTTTTAAAAAAAAAGAAAGAAAAGAAAAGCCAAGGGCAAAATTTAGGCTAAATGCCAGCCTTTTTGGAATGAAGTTCATGTACCAAGCAAAAAGTAATATTGTCATAAAATACAACTACATTTGTCTTATTTCTTTGCTATAGCAACTGCACAACAGGGACTTCCATACAAGTTTCACTGAATACTAAAATGCATGAATATATATCCAGCGTGTTCACACTGTTTGAGAATGACATTCAGATGGCTTTCAGTCTCAAGGACCTTCTTTTTCTATAAAACTTTTCAAATTCTTGTACTTCATATAAAGAAAAACACTACAAAATTGTTATATGGCAGAAAGACTCAGGTTCATCATTATGATCCTTTTGTATTTTTTATCAACAGGTATCAGCATTATATTTTTCAGATTGAAACCCACAGTGTTAAAAAAAAAAAAGCCTTTCTCTCCTGTCTATAAAGCAATAGTGTTCAAAGCTGAAAACTTAATATGCTGAAAAATGAAAGTGATCTATAATTGCCTTACCAGAACTCCTGTCTAGACACAAACACATAATTTGTTTTTATATATTTGAGATAATTCAATTTTGTATTCTACTTTATCCACTTAATATTGTAATTTTTCTTTCCCCTTTCTCTTTTTTTTTTTTTCCAAGTACTACTACGAGCCCAGGGACCTTAATTATTCAGTACATTGTGATAATTTACAGTATACAGTCTCTTTTGATGCTCAAATGATTCCAAATTGGGCTAGTGGGAGACTCTCCAAGTTGAATACTGTTTTCATAAGAAATAATTCCATTATTCTTTTAACTGTAGAAAACTATATATAACATCTGGGGCCCAGCAAGTGGTAAGACAGTTAATGCATTGGAATCCCACATGGCTGAGTACAGTTCAAGTCCTGGACCCAGTTGCTTGAAAATCACACCGAGTGTGTGTGCACATGTGCCCAAAATCCTGAGAGGAAAATGGAGGAAAAGGGACTGTGGCATGACCACCCCCATGGAGGCATGATTTCTCACTTTCCTTCTCTATGTTTCTCTCTGTCTCTCCAGAGAGTGCATGTGCCCTATGACAAAAAGCTAAAATAACAAAAATACATATAGCATAAAAGTTACCATCTTAATCATTCTAAGGATAAAGTTCCCTATTAAGTAAATTCCCGTTTTGGGGCAGCAAATGTCTTGAACTTTTTCATCTCACAAAAGGAAAACCCTATACACCCATTAATAGTAATTCCCAACTTTCCCTCCCACACTCTCTGACAACCACTGTTCTACTTTCTGACTTTCTGTTTCTATGAATTAGACTATTCTAGCTATTTCGCATAAGTAAAATCATGCAATATTTGTCTTTTTGTGACTAACTTCTTTCGTGTAACACACTATGATGCCCTCAAGGTTTATTTATGCTGTAGCAAGTGTCAGAACTTCCTTCTTTTTAGATAAATTCACATTGAATTAAATATGAATTTCGATTCATATTTAACAACAGATTTTTTTCTTATTTTATTTTGTATTTGTATCTTTCTCTCTTCTAATGAAAATCTTGGTTCCTAGGACCAGCAGATGCTGTAATGGATACGTTGCTGGACTCTCACGTAGTCCACTGTGGTTTAAGATCCAGACCTGGTGGCTTAAAATTCACACTAGACGAATGTGCGTGCATGCCCAAGATCCTGAAAGGAGAATGGAGAAGGGATTGTGGCATGACCATTCCCCTTGGGGGTGATTTCTCACTTTCTGTCTTTCTGAGTCTTTCTGTCTTTCTGGCGAGCACACGCACCTTATGGTAAAAATCTCTCTCTGAAAAAGAAAAGAAAAAAGAAAGAAAATCTTGGTTCCTAATAACAAGAATACATTTACCAATTTGTTTTGTCTCATAGTATTTATTAAAAGGTTTCAAAACTTATTAGTAATATTGGTATTTATTAATAAATAATAAAAATATTTTAGTAAATAAAATACAATGAGAGAAATTTAGGGATCCTTTTGTCCATAGTCTAAAGCTTAAACATTACCTTAAGATGTTCAGTCAAAGTACTTTTTCTGTTCTTTGTAAGGCTATGTTATCAACATAAACATTTGATTACTTGATTAGATTTTAAAATTTCTGCTTGTGTTCCATCTTAGGCTTAATTTTGTTATCCTTTTTGTGAACATGTAAAACATTAACAAGGTTTACACATTAAAACCACATGGAACAGGGCTAGCAGGTGGTGCACCGGTCAGGGCAACTTGATGTAGGAGAAGGGATTGTAGTGTGGCCATCCCCCCACGGGGCAGGGGAGTTCTCATTTTCCCTCTGTCTCTATCTCTCTTTGTGTGGTTCTCTCTAGCAAGGGCATGCCTGATTGAAAACTAATGAACAGGGGCTGCCAGGTGGTGTAGTGGTTAAGTGCACTGGACTCCCACATGGCCGATCGTGGTTCGAGTTCTAGATCTGGTGGCTTGCTTTTTCATCTTCCCTCTCTCTTTCTCACTCTGTCCCTCTCTGGTCAAGTTAAAATAAACAAACAAATAAATAAATGTAAATAAAATAATTATTAAAAAAACACTAATGAACAGATGTATAAATAAGTTAAATGAAACCACATGGAACCAACAACTCTTTAAAAGTAACCATTTTTTAAATTTGATTCTGATTTATCATTCTTTTCCTCCCTCAATAAGCAAATATGTGTATATGTAATTCTTACTTATTTCCCCTTTCTTACACAAAAACTAGTATACTATATATACTGGTTTTCTCTTTAACAGTTCTTTCTGAAGAGCATATTATGGCTATTTATAGAGACCAGGCTTTTTCTTTTTTGAAGATTGTATAGTAGTTCTCTACTGTACACTGGTTTCCAGTCACTCACTGTTATGAATAATTCCCTAATGCCACATACATCTTTCTTTGTATTTGCAGAATAATATCTTTAGGTATATATCTAGAATTAGGATAGCTGGGAAAGAGGTAAATGCACATTATTTTGTTAGGCTTTTCTACATTTTCCTCCTTGGGGGCTGTGTCATTTTAGACTCTGACCAGCAATGTTTGAGAACATGTTTCTTCACAGCTTTACCCACAGAATGTATTGTTAAGGCTCAGGATTTTTACTAATCTGGTAGATGAGATGGCATCTCTGTGTGGTTTTAATTCTTATTTTTCTCTTTCAAGTACAGTTGAAGGCTTAAGGTCCCGTTGCTTTTCTGTTTATGTGAACTTCCATCTGTTTTTGCCCGTTTGTTTCATTTACATTTGTTTTATTTAAAATTTTCTTCTCAACTTTTTTAAAAAAAGAATTACTTTATTTCACTGTATTTATTTATTTATTTATTTATTTATTTTAATTTGACTAGAGAGAGAGAGAACAAGTGGGAAAGCGAGCTGCCAGATCTGGGACTCAAACTGCAGTCAGCCACGTGGGAGTTAGCGCTCTTAACCATTGTGCCACCTGCTGGCTCCCTTTCTTCTCAACTTTTTAAAGAGCTCTTCATATATTAAGGGAGATTAGTTCTTTGTTTTGATTCAAGGCACAGATATCCCTCCCCCCCAGTTTATTACCTTTTGACTTTACGTATGTCTTGTGCTATCCTTCATTTATTTTTCTCTCTGTAATGTAGGTGATTTATTCATCTTTTATAGATTCTGGATTTCTGAGTAATAGTTAGAAAAGCCTTTTTCATAGAATTTACATTTTATAAACAATTTGAAATCATGAATTTTATAATTATATAATAGTCTACTATTTAATAATTATTAGACATTAGTCTCTTTTTTTGCTGTCATAAATATGACCAAATTTGTAAGTAAATCTCTATTCATTTTTCCTATTTTTCTAACAACAAAAGTATGATATTATTTAAATTTGCTACATGTTACCAAATCGTTTTCGAAATGGTACCAATTACACCTCTACCAACAGTTTTTACTCACTACACGCTCAGTAGCAATCAATTTTAAATGAAACTATGTTCTAATTTGATACATAAAAACATTGTATTTTTCACTTGCCATTTATATTTTTATAGAACAATACTATTTAGTATTATTTTCTGATATTTTGACTTCTATAGCAATGTGAAAATTGAGAACTTAGTGCTTATCTTATCAATTTGTTGGAGTGATGTCATCTGAGAAGAAAAATTAAAGAGTGTATGGATAAGAATCAGAAAAATCAGAGTTACAAAGTAAGACCTATGAGAAAGAGTTAAAGAGCTAGAATAAGACTAAGTTTTGTGCTTACAAGTAATTTTCTAGAATAAAGCTTGATTTCTAGCTTCGGAAGGGACAAACTGTGCAGACAAGGCAGGAGGTGCTCAGTTTCTGTTGCCTTGGCATTGTGGAATGACGGCCCAGGCCTCCTCTCACATGCCGTTTCCATGCTTTGCAGGCTCCCAGGGACCTTAGCCAGGCTGGACCTAAAAGGCAATGCCATCCAGGACATCACTGAGGGGGAGCTCAAGGATCTCAAGCAGCTTCAGGTTCTAAACCTTAGAAATAACAAGATCTCTGCCTTAGACCTCAAAGTCCTGGAAGGCCTGCCTCGTCTCAGGCACCTGTACCTTGATGGAAATCCGTGGAATTGCACCTGTAGTCTCCTCAGAGCGAGGGAGGTCCTGAAGGCCAAGGGCACAGACGTGAGGGGCGGCCAATGTGCAGCACCGGCTGAACGACAAGGGGAGAGCTGGATGTCCTCCAAGAAGATCATGAGGCAGTGTGAGCATTACTTACACCTGATCGAGAAAAGCAAAGAGAACAAAAAGAAACCAAAACCTGAGGATCTCTCCAGCATCAGAATCAGCATGGATGATGATTATTATGATTATGAATTAGATTAAAAATGAACTTTGTTTACAGTTTAGAAATGTTTTTTTTAATACACAATCTCTTAAGCAGACCTATATTGTATCATACAGCTAGGTATGCAAGACACTTTTGTATTATAATTTCTGATTTGTGTATAATCGCTTTTCATCTTTGTGGGGTACATGTGCTTTTGCAAAGCATGCACAGTGTTTTTTTATTCTTATTATTGTTTAGAGAATGAATGAGGGTTAAAATAAATTGTGGTGGAGGAATAAAGTAGTAAGAAGATGTAGAAATCTCTCCATTTGAATAGTAACTTGTTTGTGTTTTATACTGAAATCTAGGGCTGCTCTGTAGAGCAATCGTTAAACCCTGTTCATTGGGAGCTGTGGATTAGGATCCCACATGGCCAACTGCAGTGTGAATCCTGGCATTTAGAAAAAAAATGCTGGGTGTGTGTGCATGTTCAAAAGCCTAATGGGATGGAGAAATAGAAGGAAAAGGATTGTGGTGTGTCTATGCCCCATTAGGGCGCTCTCTCTCTCTCTCTCTCTCTCACTCTTATTTTGGCAAGGACATGCAACCCTCTAGCAACTAAGAAAAAGAAAATACTGAAACCTAGGCAAATAATAATGCCAAATAAAATCACCATATTGTCAGCTTCCTGTGAGCAGTTCATTTTATAAAACAGGAAGTGACGACTTTTGTCTATGAAGCTGGTGTTACAGGCCTACACTAGGTTTTTGGCTGCAAGCAATAAAGGTTGACTCTGACTGGCCCAGCCACAGGGCACAAGTGGGAGGGCACTGCTGTGCAGTGGCTGAGCCAGGGTTTGGTTCCTGATCCAACCATAGCACACCTGTGGTTCCATCTGACTGGGAGGCTGAGGTAGGAGAGCTGGACATGAAAGCTGTCAAAAATACCTCTCTCCTTCCCTCCCATACACTCTCATTTAAACAAACAAACAAACAAACAAAAACAAACAATCAAAAAACCCTCACAACTGACTGACTGATTTAAGCATGAAAGAACTTATTGAAAGGGTTTGGGATAAGTCACAGAATCAAGGGAAAAACTGAAGAATCTGCCCCAGGCAGAAGAATATAATGAAGAGACCCTCAGCTTCTGCAGGGTCCTCTCCATAGAAAGTAACACTTTCCACTATTTCCAGTGTTAGCTTTCCTCCTTTCAAGAGTCACATCTTCAGAGGAAGAGGCTAGTGGCCTCGCCTGAGTCACATGTTTGTCTCTGAGCTAAAGGACAGAAGGCCTCCTTTGACAATCTAACCAATATTAAAGGGAAACCAGAGCAGGTAGGGTAAACTGCCATTTTAAATACCACAGACATCCCTATAATGACCTTCCTGGAGAGAGTTATGCTTTGAGTAATGTTCAGCTTCCCTGAGTTGACCACAACCCCCTCCAGTACCTACCTTTCGATTAACTGCATGGTTTTAAAAGATGAGAGTCTGGGGACAAAGGTGTGGCTATAGAATGAAATATTTTTTTTTCCTATTTAAATCCTATTTGTGAAAACTATCTATCTGTGAATAAATTTAAAGCCATATCCAGATTCTTTCCTATTCTGACTAGTAAGATCCATCTGCTGCAATACTTTACAAAGTTTTCTATCAAAATGCTCTTTTTAAAATGATGAACAATTATTTAATTATTTTTTATTGACTATTACTATTATTATTTAATGTGCTATAGGGCACGTGTGCTCACCGGAGAAAGAGAGAGAGGGAAAGAAAACGGCCAGGTCTGGGGCTCTACTGCATCAGCCATATGGGTGTCCAGTGCCTTAAACCACCATGCCACTTGCCGGGCCCTCAAAATGCTCTAACGGCAGAGAAAGTAAATAGAGATTGTGTGGATGGGCAAGGATGCCACGAGAAGATAAAATTTTCTCCAGAATGTCATATTTTAACTTAAAACTTCATGCAAATTATTCATACTTGTTTTAGGTCCATATTTTCTTCTCCTAAAATGTTTATAAAACTGATACTGCTTGAAAAAGAACCCTTTATGTACTGTGGTTTCTCATACCTCCCAGGATAAAGCACAAACTGCAGAAATATGGGAACTCTTACATAATTCTCCGCTTTACTGTGTGGGGCTTCAACTCTGTGTTACATCTTCAACTTGTGTTACATCTAACTTCTGAGAGAGACTAATTATGGACGATGGGTAATCACTGACATTGCCTGAGTGTTTATAATTGGAATTTCTAAGCTGTGAGAGTCTGGGGAAAACATCTTGTTTTTTGTAGATGAGTGAGCTCAGTTTTATGGGGATAAGTGACAGAAGCAGCAGAGCTATAACTTGATTATACCAAGGTTTTGTTGTTGTTGTTGTTGTTGTGTTTTCTGCAATTCTGTTCTCTTTCTACTATAGCATTCACAGGCATATAAGATTCACCTAGCCCATTCTACTTACAAATCAATTCTATACTAGTAATGTCTTCAATACAGTATCTGTAATTATCTGCTTGCATTTCCATAACAAAATGCTGAAGGCTGGGTAGCTTACACAATAGAAATTTACTTTCTTACAGTTTTGGAGCCTAGCAGCCCAGGATCGAGGTGAATCAGTCTTGGTTTCTGGTGAGGGCTTTCTCGTTGTCTCTTTGACAGCTGTTTTCTTGGTGTGTCTTCACATGACTACTTCTCTGTGCACGTGCAAGGACAGAGATTTCTGGTGTCTCATCCTTTTACAAGGACACTGTCCTGTTGGATTAAGGTCCCATCTTTATGACCTCATTTAATCTTTTTTTTTTTTTGAGAGATTTTTGCCTTAGAGAGATTTTTGCTCTCACTAGGGAGAGAGAGAGAGATTGTGAGAGGTAAAGTGAGAAATCACCCCCAGGGGAGGTAACCATGTCACAGTCTCTTCTGTTCCATTCTCTTCCTGGGATTTTGGGCATGCATGCACACTCACCTGGCATGATTTTCAAGTCACTGGGTCTCAGACTCAAACTGCAGTCAGCCATGTGGGAGTCCAACCATGTAACTGTTATGCCATCTGCTGGCCCCCCTCATTTAATCTTAATTATCTCCCTCAAGGACCTATCTCCAAACACTACACATTGGGAGTTAGAGCTTCAACAGATAAATTTTAAGGGAACACACTCAGCCCATAACAGTATCTATCTATCTATCTATCTATCTATCCATCCATCTAAATTTCTGGTTCTTGATTAAGTTTACTGATTAATTTATTTTAAAAAAGAAAAGATGGGGAAGACAGAGTAGAAAAGGATAAGGAAACTTTGAAGCACTTGGGCTGGCCTAATGTTTAAAGGAGTCAGATCCCACATGGCAGACTGCAGCTTGAAAAACACATCAGGTATGTGTGCACACATGCTCCAAAGTCCAACAGGATGAAGACATGGAAGAGAAAGCATTTCAATGTGACCACATGCCACTGGGATTACTTTCTCCCATGCCCTTTTTTTCTGTCTCTGGCAAGCAAATGCACTCTCTGTCAATTAAAAAAAAAATCAGTGAATTATTAATCTTGGAAAGTGACTCGAGTCCAGGACTAGGATGTAGGGCAGGTGAAATCTGGAAGGATGAATAGAATATGAACTATGAGATTCTGCTTCAAGGCCCTGAAAGGTGGGCATAGGTTGAGTATTACTGGAACTGGGAAAAGGGGCAGTTGTCTTGGCACAGGGGTATATTTAATGCCTGAGAAAAAGGATTCCTTTGGGGGAGTATAAACTTCCAGAAACTAGTATTTTTCTATATTACTTTTCAGTGCCTCTATTTCCTATTGGTAAAATGGGGATTATAGGACAATCTCCTGGAGTTAATACTTTTGAATGTGTGGAAAAATAGTTTCCTAAAACTGCTTTAGGAAATTGCAAATCTGCTCTTCTCTCCAAACGAAGACATTATGAGTGACGAATGCCAATTTCATGGTTGTGTGTATAAATGCTGCCCCTAGGATTATGTGCTTGACAGTGTGTCCATTCTGAGATCCCTTCTCTTCCCCCCTTGAACTCCCTCTTCCAGTCCCGACTAACATTTCATATCATGTGTGCTTAGACTTACAAGAGTCAGAACTGAGCCACTACCTGGTCATACAGCTCCTACTGGCTGCCGTCTTGGTAATACAAATCCGAGCTAAAGCCTTTCAGTTGTGCCTTGTGGGGGCTTGATTGTTCTTAGGGGACAACTAGTCTCCTACTCAGCCTGGCTTTAGTGGGAAGTTTAGACCCTAGAAAGAATAACTCAAATGAATGATCTGAAAAGAAGGCTCTGGTGCTTCATTCGGGCACACATACAATGGTCTCCAGTGAAAGTACTGCTTTTATCAGAGTTGATAGTTTCGTGAAAGAACACTTGCAGTTTCTACTCAGGATTATTCAGAATTTATAAACGTTAAAGGACTTCCACACAGACTTTATAGATTACTGTCATGCAACACATACAACAGCAGGAAATGTGGTAGATGTATCTCCCTCTGTAGTGTAGTTTTCTGCTCATGTCTTTGCAAAGCGGCTCACAAGTCTCCCAAATATCTGCTTCATGCACCTGTTAGTTTCCCCCTTCTTTCAGAGGGAGGAGCTTCATGGAAGATTTGGCTCGAGAAGTGGAAGATACTGTCATTGTTGATGCTCAGAAAACTCTCAGAGAGAAGGAATTCTTTTTCTCTGTAGCTGTTTAATATGTCCCCTTATCAAATAATGCTCTGAACTTGGCATTGCCACCCAAAATCTGGTCTCTTCATTATAAAAATTCTGATCTTTTTATAAAAATGGTCTCCAGAGGGACCAGCAGGTGGCATGGTGGTTGAGGTGCTAGACTGCCACATGGTTTGAATCCTAGATCTGGTGGCTTGCTTTCTTATGTTCTCTCTCTCGATTGCACTCTCTCTCTCTTTAATGAGTGCATATGCCCTATAGCAATTTAAAAATAGCAATAATAATCAATAAATTTTTAAAAAATGGTCTCCAGATATTTGTGTGTGGGGTGGTGCATAGGGGGCAGACAATTCTTCATGCTTGTTACATATGGGTTGTATGGGTTTAAGTGGCACTTAGAAACTGAATTGTATTTTAAAGCTCTATTTTTGTCAGGGGGTCATGGCTTAGTTATGTTATTCATCATTTAGTTAAGTAAATATTTTTGCTCTTAGCTAAATGTGCTTAGCTAATATGTACACAAATGAAATAATTACTCTATTTATAAGTCACTCAAAAATCCAATGCTTTCCATCATAAACTCCTAATTCTGTGGTGAATGTTAAAAACTGGATTCTTGTCAGCTTATCCTTCTGAAACCTCAGGGAATGGTTAAAATGCTCCAAAGTACAGTTTTGAGAGAATAAATCATGTGGAACGGGTGTCATCCAGTAATAATAATGGATTATCTTAGTTCAGTCTTGGTTTCTCATATAGGCAACTAGCCCCCCCTATTCTCTTCTCTATTACACAAGCTCCCCATTTCCCCCACCATAACACATACAATTCCTACTGCCCAGTATTGGACCACTGTTAGTCAGGTATAGAGTAATCATTTATTACTCAGGATTTGTCAACCACTTTTTTTTTTTTTTCTGAGAGATTTTTGCTATAGGGTGCATGTGCTTGCCAGACAGAGAGAGACAGAGAGACAGAAAGCTAGAAATCACCCCCCAAGGGGGATGGCCATGCTGCAATCCCTTCTCCTCCATTCTCCTCTTGGGATCTTGGGCATGCACGCACACGCGCCAGCATGAATCAACCACTTTTTAAGAAGTAACAAGTGTCAAGACCAGCAGATGGTATAATGGTTATGCCACTGGACTCCCACATAGTTGGCTGCAGTTCAAGTCCTGGATTTGGTGGCTTAAAATTCACGCCAGGTATGTGTGTGTGTGCATGCCCAAAATCCCAAGAGGAGGACAGAGAAGGGACTGTGGCATGGCCATCCTTCCTAGTGGGTGATTTCTCAATTTCTGTCTCTCTGTCTCTTTGGAAAGTGCACACACCCTATGGTAAAAATCTCCCTGAAAAAATAAAATTTCAAGTGTCACTGAAAATTGCTTGGGTAGGTAATACCTTTCCATGTATGATATAAAAAGTAATCAAAATGGTTCATTTGAAACTGTAATGAAATTCTAAAATAGAATTCTTATGTTAAAGGCTATATGTATTTTTAAATGATCCCACAAGATAATTCTACAAAGATTACTTTCTCCAAAAGTTGTATCAGCTTACACTCTTTACCAGTAGTGTCTGTAGATTTCTGTTTCTACATAGTCATCAGCATTTACCTTTACCCTTTGCCAGTCTGATGAGTAGAAATCATATCTCATTAATGTGATTTTCACTGCCCTTCCTACAAAAGAGGTTGACTGTGTTTTTATATATTTATTGGTCTTTACTTTCCTCTTCTGTTAATTACTCATTCATATCCTTTGCCAATTTAAAAGAATCAAGTTATTTGTATTTTTCCTAAAGCAATTTATAATTTTTGCATTGTAGGGATATTATCATTATCTTGCCAGATATATGACTAGTATTATTTTCCTCAAACTATCTACTGGCTAGGTTTATGATGCCTTTTGCCTTACAGAAATTTTTATCCTTTGCATAGTCAAATCAGTCATTCTTTCATATATAAAGGACACATCATACATACTTACATGTACACACACACATGCAGTAAGATATATTTTACTGCACACACATGTGTATATAAAAGATTTTATATGTATGTATATATTAGTGACCAAAGTTTCAGTATTCTACGTATTTAGCTATTATCTATGTAACTTATTTCAATTAGTGATTAATTAACCTGATCCAATATTATTTCCAAGTCTTAATGTTAAGGATCTTTGAAATTCTATTTGAGATGACATACTATAGAATATTATTAATGATATACACAGTTTATCAGAATATACGTCATTCTAAGTTGTTGAAAATAAAAAATTTATATTCTTTCCTAATTTTACATATTACGTGGGACTAAATTTATCTAATCAATAACCCAGTATATAAAATTTAAGAAGTTTATATTGATTAGTCTTTTTATGCAAAGACAAATCCAGAACATGGATTTAGGCTTGATTTAAAAAAACAAAAAAACAAAAAAAAACAAGCTTTGAAATAAGTATGATTTACCCACGCATTTTGGATTCTTATGCTTCTAACCTAGCAGTTTTTGTGAGTTTTTTTCCCCACTTAATAATAAAACACATAGTTTGATTTCTTATTTTCTGAACATTCTAGTAACATTAGATTTAAATAAGTACTTTTAGCCTTTATAAACTAATCAGGATAAAACTATTTTTATTTAGGAGATTTATAACCTAAATCAAATATTAGCAAACTTAAAACAAAAACAAAAACGTTTTGCCAGAGGGCATGTGCACTCACTAAAAAGAGACAGAAAGGAAAAAAAATAACTCCCATGGGGAATGGCCATGCTGCAATCCCTTCTTCACCATTTTTTTCTCCTTTTGGGATTTTGGGCATGTACATACATATACCTGGGGTATTTCTCACACTTTTGGGTCCAGGACTTGAACCCTACTATAGGCTGAGTGGAATTCAGCTGTCTTACCCACCACATCACCCACTGGTCTGGCAAACTTTTTATGTAAACAATAAAATAATATATACTTCAGACCATTGGGACTTGAGTTCTCTGTCACAACTGCTCAAGTCTGCCATAAAACTACTCACAGATGAATGTATGTGGCTACGTTTCAATCAAACTTTATTTATAATGCAGGTAGTGACTTCTGGCTTCTGTTCTAGTGTGGAAGGATGTTGGAAATTGTCACTTTATAGAAACAATGGGTAGAATGCTGAACAAACTGGAAAATCAACTCTTTTTAGCTATCTCAGGGAAAAGAGGTGATAGGGCAAACCATGACGGAGGGAACAGCAGTAAATACAGAGAAGCAGAACTTCATGAGCGGAAACCTCCAAGAGAATTACTACCAGCGTAGGAAAACCTTGAACTGTAATTGATGAATTTCTGGAGGTTCATAGTGAACAAATCTGAGGGTTTAAAACTCTATAGAAGCACAGTCATAGCTCCCCAACACACACACACACACACACACACACTCAGAAATTTTGTGAATTTAACCTACGAGAGTTCAATTGGCTTCTCACAGTGCATGCTGGATGGCAAAGAAAGGAAAAATATCCCCCCCCCTTTTTGTTTTTTGTTTTTGGTTTGGGTGATTAAGTGTGTTTATAATTTTAATAATAGTACACAATGATACAATGTATTACATGTGCTTGCTTAGTAAATTATATTTAGTCATTATTGAATAATTCAGGGTTTCATTCATAGGCTCAGTTCTTCATTTTTTATTTTACTTTGGACTTTGAATCATTTGAATCAGTGATTATAAACTGAAGAAACCATTTTGAAATACGCCAGAACATTCTGTTTTTCTTAACAAGTTCTGCCTTCAAGACAAATGATTGTATTAGAGCTTAACTAACCTGTTGGTTTTATCAGAGCCTAACCAACCTAGGGGAAGAAAGTCATTCTGTTCCATCTAACATAGGGTGAAGTGGAGTGGGGGGAACCAAGAGGCTTTTATGAAGTTCCCAGTCCAGAGCTACAGGCTCACAAAAAGAATGAGACCAAATCATAGAAATCTGTCACTCTCCCACTCTGATGTGCCACCACATTAATAAAGGTGTAATTATAGGAGTTCTTTTTAGCCAGTGCTTCATGTCTGGCTATAAACAAAATATTTCAAAGCATACTAAAAAAGGCAAAAAAGACAGTTTGAAAGAGACAGAGCAAGAATCATAATCAGATCCAGATAAGGCAGGGATATTGAAATGATCAAACTAATCCATTAGGTGTTTCTTTATCTTTGATTTTCTGAAGTTTTAATATGGTATTTAATACCATATTAATATTTAGTTAAATTAATTTAATATGGTATAAATGTAAAATTTTAAAATTTAAAACAACTATGACTAATGTTTTAGGAACTCTAACGGATAAAGTACACACCATGCAGGAATAAATGGGAATATAAGCAGACCTAGCAATTCTAAGAAAGAATCAAAAAGAAATGTTAGAGATCAAAAACAGTATAACAAATGAAGAATATTTTCGGTAGACACATTAGAAGATTGGACATAGCGGCAGAAAAAAAACAATCTCTGAGCTTGAGGATCTATCATTAAACAATATCAATACAGATAAGCAAAAATAAAATAAAAAAAAGATTGGAAAAAAAAAGTAATGGAATATCCAAGAACTGTGCTACAACTACAAATGGTCTAGCTATGCTTAATGGGAATACCAGAAGGAGAAGAAAGAGAGAGGAAAAAATTAAAAAAAATTTTTAACCAAGAATGACCGAAAGTTTTCCAAAATTAATGTCAAAACCCAAACCACAGCTCCAGGAAGCTCAGAGAACACTAAACAAGCCAAATGCCAAAATAAACCATACCTGGGAATACCATATTAAAACTTCAGAAAATCAAAGATAAAGAAACACCTTACCTATGGCCCAATGGATAAGGGAGCTAACCCAGTGGTTTGAGTCCCAGGCAAAGCAGCTTGTGCACCGGGGACATGCGCATACACGCCCCAAGTTCCAACAGGTTGGAAAAGTGGAGGAGAAGAAATTGTGGAGTGATCATGATCCATGGGTGAACGCTTTCTTGCTTTCCTTCTCTGTCTCTCTCTAGTGAGTGCAACCTCTGGCAACAAAACAAAACAAAAACTTTAGAGGAACAAAGATATAAATGACATTAGACTTATTCTCAGAAATCATCAAATTAGAGAACAAAATGAAGTATTTAAAAGAAAACTATCAATCTAGAATTCTGTACCTCACAAAATTATATTTCAAAAGTGAAGAAAAATAAACACTTTCTCAGATAAACAAAAATTGAAAGGGTTTGTTGTCAGTAGATCTGCCTTGCAAGAAATATTAAAAGAAATTTTCTTGAGAGAAGGCAAATGGGATAGTTTAGAATCTTGGATGTATACAAGGAAACAAAAGAGCATTGGAAAGAATAAGTGAAGGTGAAATAATAAACTTTTTTCTAATTCTTGATTGATCTAACAAATAATAGTTTGCTCAAACTAATAACAGAAACTATATCCAATTAAATATGCATATGATTGTGTATTCACAAGTAGTATATATTACTTATATGTATATATACACATATATAAGTGAAATGAATGACAGCGATAATGAAATGGAATGGGAAGGAAAAATTAGGATTTATGTTTTTTAAGAGAGATTTTTTGCTATAGCGTGCACTCGCTTGCTAGAGAGACAGAGAGACAGAAAGCAAGAAATCACCCCCAAGGTCATGCCACAATCCCTTTTCCATTCTCCTCTTAGGATTTTGGGCACTCAAGCACGCACACATGCACCCGGCGTGAGTTTTATATCACCAGGTTTGGGATTTGAACTACGTGGCAGTCCAGTGATACAATCATTACACCGTCTGCTGGTTCCTAGGATTTTAAAATTTATTTTAATATTAAATCACTATACATCACTTAGTGTAGGGAGCAGCCCGAATCTGAGCAAACACAATGGTGGCCTTAAAGCACATGCAGAAACGCCATTCTATGGGCAGTCCTTTGCAAGGCTACCAAATACGCTAGTTACCTCTGTGTTCAAAACTGCAAAGCACTATTGGTTAAAGGAAGCCACAGGTTTTAATTAGAAAAGGCCTGAGAAGAGAAAACTTACATAGAACTTCATAGTGCCAGATGTCTTCCCATCTTCAGCTGATTAACGTCTGAAAACAACTGGCTTAGCGTTTCCACTGCCCTTTCCTGCCTTTTTTGCCCTTTAAAAGAATAAACCTGGGAAGAGTTTGGGGCCATGGCTGCCTCCATTAGAGGAGTCGGGACCACCTCATCTTTGCTTTTCTCTACTTCTGTGTCTTTGTGTGTTTATTTTATGTTTATTCTCTAATTCCCAGCTGCCCCTGTGTTCAGTCATACCCATAGAACCGCATTTCTCATGTTCTTAAAGGTCACCATTGTGTTTGCTCAGATTTGGGCTGCTCCCTACAGCTATATTACTTTCAGACAGGGTAGTGTAGACTTCCAAGGAAGGCTAGTTATCAGGAATAAAGAGGGACATTACATATTGTTAAGGTCAATTCTTCGAGAAGGTATAAAAAACCATAATGCTTATGTATCTAACAACAGAGTGTCAAAATATGTGAGGCAAAAACTGATAGAAATGCAAGGAACATCAAATGAGTATACTCTCATGGCTGGAGATGTCAACATCCTTGAACAGAAATGGACTGATCCAGAAGGCATAAAGCCAGTAAGGACATGGTTGAACTCAACGATATCATCAATCAACTGGATATCATTAACATCTTTTGACCATTTCATCCAACAATAGCAGAATACACTTTCTTATCAAAATCACAAGGAACATTCACCAAGAGAGAGCATATTCTTGGCCATAAAATATACCTTAATAAACATGAAACAATGAAAATCATACAATGTCTGCATTCGAATCACAAGGGAATTATGCTAGAAATCAATAACAGGATGACAAATCCCCAAATACTTTGAAATTAAACAACACATTGGTCAAGAGAGAAATCTCAAGAGAAAATAAAAGTTTGCACTAACTGAAAATGAAAAAAAAAACAAAACTTGTGAGATGCAGCAAAAGAGTGCTTAGATAACATATTTGTTATTTAATGTATATTAGAAGAGAAGGAAAAATCTAAAAGCAATAATCTATGTGTCCACCTTAAGAACTAGAAAAAAGGAAAATAGGTATTAGACCGAAACTAAAGACAGGAAATTAAGAAAGGAAATCGACAAACATAAAATCTGGCTCTTTGAAAAGACCAATAAAACTAGTAACCAAAAAATAAAAGTGAAAGAAGAAACAAATTACTAATATTAAAAATGAAAGAATGGACATTTTCTACAGATCCCATGGACATTTGAAGGATAATAGAGGAATACTATAAACAACTCTATGCCCACAAATTTTGTAATTTAAATGAAATGGGTCAATCCTTGAAAAACACAATCTGCCAAAACTCACATCAGAATGAATAAATTATTTGAACAGGCCTATATGTATTAAGGAAATGGAATCAATAATTAATAACTTTTCAAACAGAAAAGACCAGCCCAAGAGGGGCAAACCAGTGTATTCTACAAAAACATTTAAGAAGAGAGTAAACCAATCACCTATAATCTATTTCTTTCTTTTCTTTTTTTTTGAGAAGTTTTTGCTACAAGGCATGTGCGCTCGCCAGAAAGACAGAGAGAGAGACAGAGAGACAGAAAGCTAGAAATCACCCCCCAGGGGGGATGGCCATGCTGCAATCCCTTCTCCTCCATTCTCCTCTTGGGATCTTGGGCACGCATGCACACGTGCCAGTCGTGAGTTTAAGCCACCAGGTCCGGCACTCAAACTGTGGTCAACTACATGGGAATCCAGTGACATAGCCATTACATTAACTGCTGGTCCCAACCTATAATCTATTTCAGAAGACAAAGAGACCAATTCCTACCACATTCCCAGGCCTGCAATCCCCTAATACCAAAACCAGACAGGCATTACAAGAAAAGAAAACTGTAGATCAATATCTCTCATGAGCACTGGTGCAAAATCCTCAACAATTTATTAGCAAATGACATTCAACAATGTATAAAAAGAATTATACACCACCCAAGTAAGATTTATGTCAGGTATGCAAGGCTGTTTCAACATTGGAAAATCAGTTAGGGCAATCCATGACATAAATAGGCTGAAGAAGAAAAAGACCACATGACCATATCAATAGATGCTGAAAAAGCATTTGTCAAAATGCAACATCCATCAATGATTAAAAACTTTCAGAAAACCAGGAATAGAAGGGAACGCTCTTAACTTGATGATAAAGAACATCTCTGAAAACCTACAACTAATATCGTACTTAATTATGAGAAACTAGGAGCTCCCTGTAAGATCAGAAAGAAAGCAAGGACTTCCTTCCTCTCACCACTTTTTTTCAATGTCATGTTAGCTGTCCTAGATAATGCAATAAGAAAATGAAACAAAAAGTATACTAATTATGAATGAAGAAATAAAAAGGTGTTTATTTGCAGCCAGAGGATTGTCTCTGTAAAAAAAATCCCAAATCATCAAAAACATCAAAACTATGAGAACTAGCAAGCTATTATAACAAAATTGCAGGATACAAGGTTAATACACAGTTGCTTTCTTATATACCAGCATGAACAAGTCGACTTTGAAATTAAAAGCACAAAGCCATTTATATTAGCATCCCTAAAGATAAAAATGTAACAAAATATATACAATATCTATATGATGAAAACTGCATAACTCTGATTTAAAAAGGTCAAAGAAGCATTAAATAGATGAAGAGCTATTCAACGATCTTGAAAAGGAATACTTAATATTGTAAAGCTGTCAGCTCTTCCAACCTGATGTTCAGATTCAGTGAAATAACAATCAAAATCCCAGCAAGTTATTCCGTATATATTGAAAAACAGATTCTGAAGTTTCTATGAAGAGACAAAACACCCAGAATGGTCCTTCTAAAGAGGAACAAAGCGGAGCCCTACTGTAAAGCTACAGTAATCAGTGGGGGTTGGGCAGTGGCGCAGCTGTGCTACCCAAAGCTCTGTAAGGCAAGCCACATGGAAAGTTTCCGGTTTGTGAATGGAGACTTTCTGGAGTACACCAGGCACACATGTGCTCATGATTTGAGACTGGTGGAGGCTGGGAGTGAATCACGGTGTGAAGATTCTTTTGGGGGTGGGTGGGGGCGGGGGGGAACAGCAGTTGGCATAATAGCTATGTCGCTGGACTTCCATATAGTCTACTGCGGTTTGAGTCCTGCACCCGGTGGGTTAAACTCAGACCAGGAGCTTGTGCGTGCATGCCCCGGATCCAGAGAGGAGAACCGAGGAGAAGGGATTGCGGCGTGACCATCCTGGGGGGTGATTTCTCGCTTTCTGTCTCTCTGTCTCTGTCTGTCTGATGAGCGCATGCACCCTATAGCAAAAACCTCTCCAAAAATAAAAAAGATCCTGTTATGTATACTGTCTCTCTCCATCTTTATCTCACTCCTGAAAATTAATAAGTAAATAAATAAAGACAAACTTTTAAAAAGGTTCTAGTTGGTTTTGAGAACCACCTACCCCCGCCTTAAAGCTAGATCAGTTAGCCTCTGACTACTACAGAAGGAAACAAACAAACAAACAAACAATTGGAGAGGCCAGAATCTTCATGTTGGCAATACTGCCAGCTGAAGATATGACCCAAACCCTCTCACTCAAGTTCACATTACAAAAAAGTACAAAAGATACAGCCTCCATCTTTCTGCAGACCTTAGAGCTGTTGAAAAAAATTATGACGATTTAAAAATTGAGTCATGTAGCCAGAATGTCAACAGTTGGGAAAAGAAGGCTTTAGAGAGCAAAGATTAGGTAGGCATTCAGCAACATAAATACAAATACATATGAATAATATATTACACAGAACCATTACTATTACGATTATTGTGTAATAATAATCATATGCATATGATAATCGAGGATGTGGCATGTAGGATGAGCCTAGAGAAAGGGGTGGAATTCGGGCAGTAACGAGTTGGAAAACAGGGAATCAAGTGAAGGGAAGAGCTTGAGCAAAAGGGGAAAATGCAGCACAGATTTGGGGGGAAGAACGAGACTGGCCTAGAGGAACAATCTGAAGTCCAAACTGGCCAGAACGTGAGGGTGTGTAAAGGGGATAATAAGGTTGGATGGGGATTGACGGTGGCAGTGACTGAGGTTGGACACTGTGTTCCTGTCGCTCTCCACTGTAAAACTGACTCGTAACCTGTAGTTAATAATCAATTGCTAAAGAAATGAATAAACGAAACAACAATTGGACTGCCAGGTGGTGGAGTCTCTCTCTAATGTTAAGCAATAGACATAAGAGAGATCCTACTATGGGCACTGTCTCCAAAGTAAGACAGTAACAGTAAGGATTCTGTTTAGAGGGTAATGAACATGGCAGACACGTGTTTTAGGAGCATCACAGAAGAGGCTTGGTCTCGCTCAAAGAATTAACTTCGAATGGAAGGTTGAACCAAAAACACTGGTGACAGGGAATGTTGGGATAATCAGGCCCAACACCAGTGCAGGATTCAGGACCACAAGATGCCCATGTTCTCGTCCCATGCTCACAAAGAGTCAGAGACATGAGAAGGGAACAGCAATGCATAGTTTATTAAGAGAAGGAAGAACAGAGCTCTCCAATAGGGAGAGGTACCAGAAAAGGTTGCCAGAAATGGGCTTTATACTGGAGTTTATATCTTGTAGTCTGAATAGGGGCTGGCTTTTTGACAAGGAAATGGGCTTTAGAAAATGGTTACATGGTAGATTGAGTGACTTATTAACCCATTCTTTCTGGGGTCAGCAGATCCCACATCTTCACTGGGCAATACCGACCTGCAGAACCTGGTCTCCATAGCAGTCTGTACTTCTTATATGAATGTAGTTAATAAATATACACTTTGCCCTTAGCTATACTTGTTGTGAGTTCAAGTGCAGCCAGCTTTTTGTGAAAACTTGGCCATCGTGACACCATCTTGGGCCTTTACTCTGTCTGTGTGCTCACTCTCCTGCCTTAGTAGCAAGACCTCACTGTGTAATAGGAACACTCTAGTCTTTGCAGGCATTTTCCTTGTGGGGAACCCAATTGATCCCAGGCACCAACACAGGCTGAGGACTACTTTCCACCCCTAGGTTCTTTTGGCATATGCAATTTCTAATCCAGGTAGGTCACTTTTATTCTGTAGAAACTGTTTCTGTCAGACTTGTGAGAGGAGACAGCATAAAGTGCCTAGGATGGGATAGGACGCCTGATTCCTCCAACTGCCCTTTCTGTCCTTGCCCACGTGGACCTAGGATTCTTACTCAGAAAGGTCAGTTACGTCTGCTCCTCGCCCTCCAGACCACTAGAGGGCGAACTGGGTTTCAGCCCGCCTAGTTCATGAGCAAAAACCCTCACTGGCCTGCGTCGGACTTAGCCACACCCTCCGTGCCAGAAGTCGCGTCAGAGTTCCACACTGGCCAATCAGGACCGTCCATGTACTGGTAAGGGCGGGGCTACCAAGGGAGGAGGAAGATGGCGGCGGGGGCGAGGTGAGGTGTTGGCAGTGGAAAGGGGTTCGGGCGCGGGGGGCGGGGGGACGCGGAGCTATGGCCCGCGCCGGCCTCAGGGGCGGATAAAAAGCCCTCACGCCGCGGGTGAGGGCGATAGGGAGGAAAGGGCGCCCAAGCGCCACAAGAGTATGACGGGGCTGTA